ACGCCTTGTCCAAGTCCTTGCAGTCTTCGAGCCCCTTCCGCCGGTCTTGACCTTTTCCGGCTCGAATGCCTGCGCGAACGAGCCGTCTCCACGTGAGCATAGCTTCGCGCGTTCGGGGTGAATCGGTACGAGGGTGGTTCAGCTAGAGGCATCGAAATACCAAGCTCCCGAGCTTTATTCCGTTATGCTTTATTCGGTTTAACGATCGTCTCTGTAGGTTTAAATATCGCGAGGGGTCGATGGAAATTTCTTCTATGCGTTAAAATTTCAATAATTATTACACCACGTCTACGATACTTGCAATATTTACTATAACAAATTATGACACGTCGTACGACAAGGAGGGTTGAATCTCTCAGAGAGATTTCCGTAAAATCATGCATGAAAAGATCGTGGTATTTCGACGGCTCGAGAGCTTCGAGTATCCAACAGGCATTTAACTCGGTGGAAAACCGCGATCTCCGAATGCAAGAAGCTATCGCTCACAGACGAGACAGCCCCGTCTCGCTGGTATCTTGCATGGTGCTGCTTGTCCGTCTATTTTCCTGGTGGCACGTGCACATCGACGATGTACAGCAACAACGATCGTGTCGCGTAGCAGCAGTGAATCGTAAGAGCCGACAGAGAGCAGGAAACGACACAGAGAGAACGTGAGAACACGGCAGAGAGACACGGTTTTGCAACGACCTTAAAAATGCGTTACGTGTGTGAAGAAAGGTGGTACACGTGGCATGCAAACGGTGACGGGGCTTCTGGGTACGGTTCTCGAGCGTGTCGAACAAGCTTTATGGGACCATTACCGAGCCATGGAATATTCCAAACTTTATCACTCACGGGTGCCATTATTTTACCATTTTTACTTTTTCTCCGCCATATTTTTATGCCAATGATTTCGCGAGAAATAGACAAATTTTATAACTGTATATCGAATGATCCATCGCTCGGCCAAGTCCCAATATCTACCGGGTTACAATCGAGTTCGGGCTTCTGGTCGCAGTGTTACTCACTGAAAGCTAGACGCCACTAATCAAGACCAAAAAAGCCTACTGCATGCATTCCTTCGACATCTGCTTTGCGCTTTCGTCGCCTAACACTCGGTGTACCCGATTCAAATCGATCTTTACGGAATTCCGTCGATTCACGGCAGATTCTCGTGGGGAAAGAATTACGAGGATCGTTGAACGGAGGGATTGAGTGAATGTTTTCCACGATGCGCGATCTTTCTCCCCTAAATCTAACCAGGTCTATCCGAGACGTCTAGGGTGAACGGGGTCCCCGAAGAAACGGGAAATCGTCGGACTTCGCGTGCAGGAGAAAGAGCGAAATGTAGAACGAAAGATACTTGGTCGGAGGTATGCTCGATAACGTTTAACAAGGAATACAAAAGAAGAGCGAACTTAGGTGAACGAAAAGGGGGCAAAAGTACGATTCGACTGCACGAAAGAGAATGGAATTAAAAAGGCGGAAAGAAGAAAAGAAAAGAGTTTTGGAAGAGGAACGAGCGATGCATGCCACGTAATCGACCCGCGAGATGGACAGTGAGAATTCTTCGTGTTCTTTTGACAAAGTACAAAACTTCTGCTTTATTGCCTGGCCAGAAAACACAATGGATCATTCTGGGATTCCTTCGATGAACAGTGACTATATCTCTCCAAACGCGCGAGTGAACCGTTCCTCGAGACCTCGACGACGGAGAGACGAAAACCGATGAAACTCCGGCAAAAATGCAAATTAATCGTTCCCACGTCTTCTCCAAATTTCATCCGAATTATTTTCCACCTTCCAAAGCGTCGACTCCCAAATTCTTTCGATCCAGGCTCTCTCCACTGTCAAGGTCTCGAGACTGCTTCCTCTCAGCTATCCGATCCTGTCCACACTGTTGGAAACGCACCCCAAACTCGTACGCATCGAAGCAAGAAAGCATCGAAATCGAGTTTCCGCGATATTCTAGCAAGGCGAGTACAAGTTACTCGATCGATCCAGCGCGTCTCGAGGCGTCACGGCGCTTAATTCGAATCCCTGTCTCCTTCTGTATAACATTGTACCGTTTTCTTATCCTGTCGCTCCTCTCTTCTCGTCCACTTTCCTGTCTCCGTTGCGTGCCCTCTCTACAGCGACGTCTCTCCATTTTCCAACCGCTCGTGGATGTCCTCTTCCCTCTCTCGGGCTCTTTTCAATCGTTCGTCGCGCTTCCATTCCTCTCCGTTACCGTTTTACCATTTTCCCAATCGACGCACGGAAGCGCAAAGCGGCGCGACGCCTTTTCATCAGGCGCGAATAAACGTTACGAAGCGACGCAGCACCCCGCTTTGCCTTTCCGATCCCTCGGAATGCTACTAGGCGATGCCTGCGAGGAAATTCCTCTCTGGGGTAATACTGTTCTCCCAGGCGAAGAAACGCCACCTGGAGTAGTCACGAACGCGAGCCAACGTGCCTCGGATCTCGAAAGAGAATTGGTCGATCTGACTGCTGGATCACGGGAATCGAGTTTGCTCTGCGACTGCCATGCCCGGCCTCCCTTCGTCATAACTTTGGCGTACACAGCTGTATTCGAATCCCATCGGCAGTAGGTAGTTGCGTTTTCGTTTATCCTTACACTCGTATCTCGTCTCTATATTTAGTCACTGTGCACTGTCCTCGTATCGGTAATTCGCTCAAGGATATACTTACAGGATGAACCACCTGACCAACGGTGCTGTGACCATTCGTAAGAAAATAATTTGTCATCGTTTCCCGGATAAATTTAAGCAGAGGACGAGAGTCTAGGTGGTCAGGGGGCATGGTCCATCCTGTAGACATATCCGCGGCACGAAAGCGAAGGTAGAATGGAAAGTCGAGGTGTTACAGCGGCTAGGAACTCGTTAAGGCCATCCAGATCGCCGACGAATTCTTTTTCCCTAGGCTCGATACAATCTTTCCGTGTACTAGGAAACAGCACGTTGGCGGTGATAGTGTTGGACCGAAGGAATGTATGGTTGTACGATTAAAATGGCTCGTTGCCTTAATCAGACTCGTTAGAAACGTCTACGCTATAAAAGGTAACTCTCTTACGATCACTAGAAATAATACCCTGTATCGACTCGCGAGTGATTTCCAAAGAAACCGGATAAAAACGGTGAGAAGTACGAGCTGAGTCCTAAGTTCTATATACGAAAGAAAAGGGGAAAAATGAAACGAGGAAACGCTCGAAGCGTGGAATGTCGTAGAAATACTTTCGAATACCCTGTAGTTCCGTGACTAACGCTAACCTTACGATCTAATCGAATTCGCGAGAGAGCGGTCGCGTGGAAACGTCAGCGGGTGCAAGAACGTATCGTCGAGGACGTCTTTCCAATCTCGAGGGCCGGAAGATCGATCGGCGGCACGGGCGAGTGGAAGATCGACGCCTCTTCGCGGCTTCGCGACGCTGGAAACGGTGCCGATCGTTCCGCAGCGATTCCCGCTGAGCTTTCCCCCGCGATCTAACCGAGTCGTTCCCCGCGATTAGGAATCATCGATCCGTTGATCCGGGAAGGGCAGAGGCTCGCTCTGTCTCGGGACCTACCACTGACCGATAGACGCTACCCGCGTGGCCATTTTTCATTTTCCTCTCCGGCATAACCGAGTACAGCGAGTAAATCCGATTTTCCCTTCGAACGAGGAGCAAGAAAAATTACGCCTCGCGATCCGGAAACACCGGTGTTGTCTTTAAAACGATACCGCCGGTCAAAATGGCGTCGCGAGGAACGAATCCTCCCCGACGGGGTTCGGGACCGAGGAATCGAAGAATCGAAAAATTCCAGACGCGATTTCGCTGAGCGTAATTTTCCTTCTTCCTCGACGATTTTCGCCCATTTTCTGGCGCTAGCTCTGCGGAGAGACCACGGACTGCTCCTTTCACGATCGAGCAAACACTCGCGTGCCTGCTCGCGCGTGTGTAGATGTGAGTGTGTGTGTGTAAGAGAGAAAGACGTGGGATCGGGGCCTGGTGTGTGAGCACGAGCTCTCCCTCGTACACATGGGGTCGGGGGAAGACGAGTGAGAAGAGAGATTTGAGAAATAAGAAAAAAAAAAGAGAAAAAATGTAACTATATATGAGAGTAAAACTTCAACAGTAGAGTAAGACATAGTAGTTCGCGAGCTGGTTGAACGACGAGCAATTAGTTGTAGGTAAATAAAGTCTGTACACCCACCTTGGTTCTGCTGGATCATCGAGAACCCTAAAAAAGAGGGTCGGGGCAGAGCGTGTGGGGTTAAGAACGGAGCCATTTTCGCGAGGACCATCTAAGGGTCAGTGCTAGACCTATCTATGCTACGCGCCAAGACGAGGCGAGGATTAACCGCGTCGTCTTCACGCGGGGATCGTGTCCTCCACGTGTTCGTCGAGTTCGTCGTTCCTTACTTGGTTCTCGTAAAATGTCAAATTCCAAATGGAGATGGCCATTCGTCGCGATGGAACTCGACCACGCGAGGACAACGACTATCGTTTTTCTCGAGAGAAACAACGCTCGCTGGCTACAACGGTCAGCGAAGTTGATGGGAGAAAAGAAGCGATCGTAAAAAAAAAAATAAAAATAAAAAAGATACATAAGAAAAAAAATAGTAGCGGTATAAGAATAATCGTGAATCGCGGAGATACGGACCGTCCCCCTTTCTCGAGAGGGACCAGTCTCTCCCTAGATACTCGTGGCTGTCTTTTCTGTCTTTCTTTTGCCTTTGCTTTCTTTCTTTCTTTCTTTCTTTCTTTTTTTTTTATGTTGGCTTGGTCGTGGTGTGTTGGCGGCTGTTGGGAAGAAACAAACGAAAATGTGAAACTTTTTCTTTTCACTGTCTGTCGCGATACTCCGAGCACGGCTGCCGCTCGGCGATGAGTTTCGTTGATCGTCTCTCTTTCTTTCGCCCGTCATCACTGTCGTTGCCTTTTTCTGGCCATCGCCTTCAGGAGAACCCGTGGCAATTCTCACGGATCTCGAAGTAGAGATTCAGCAGTGCCGATTCCGGCACGTCGTGGAAGCACCTACCCTCTGGCCACTGTACGCATACTGAAACAGAAAGCATACACGTATGGTTCGCGTTAGCGTGTCAGCAGAGTCAGGGTGTATTTAATTCGGTGAGGTTTCGGTTCAGTTCAAGATCGACCGAGTTAATTATTTTGGGAGCAATTGTTTCGGGTTTGATTATAAAATTGGTAAAATCTTTGCGGCACGGGATTTCGGATAATAAAATAGACCCAGGTTGTGGCAGTGGTTGTCATGGAATGTGTGTGTGACGAGTCTGACAGAGAATCGCGGAAAAACAATCAGTAGGTGAACGACAGTCATTGTGAAAGAGTCCTCGAGAGATTATATCGCAGCTAGAAGCGAATATATTTAACGAGATTTAGTTATAATTTATGTTGTGCTATTATTGTGTTAAATAAAGCTTCTTATTAGTTTATCCATTTACTCACACAGGTTGCACAGAAATTTTATTGCGTTTTAAACGAAACAGAATTGGTATATTTTTACTAATAAATCACATAATATAAAAATATAAAGAAATGTAAGGACCATCATTCTCACCCTCGCCACAAGAGGATTCTGACTTCGAGGACTTCTCCAATTCCTATATATTCCTATATATAACTTCCCGACCTTCCAATAGTATCCCAGTCTAAGGCAGGGTCTGCTAGGGTAGTCCAACTGATGAGTCCACTAGCAGGCCCGGGATGAAACACGTCTCTTTTTCCTATCTATCGTGCCTTCTAGCTACATTGCATCCATCAACAAGCACATCAACGATCGTGGGGGGAGGACCCCCACAAAAATAATAATTTAATGGAATTTGTTACAGGCTGGAACTTAAATAGTCCCACCGTTCCATGTTCAATGCTACCGACACAAGTGAATACGTTTATAATATTTGTCGAAGGTATTACCAACTGCTTTACGTAAATAAAATAAAATAGAAACCTATACGCATACAGTTATTGCAATATTTCGAGGTGGGACTAAAAATGTTCCATCATGCATTACGGTGCACCAAAAAGGTAGCACACTTTTAACCCCACCGTGCCCCAAAGAGGTAACTAATAGCTCGCGATCTTCTGGCTGAGACTCGGGTCAAGGCTTTATCTAAATTTTATCGAATAGCAACGAATTATTTTACACAACTGAAATCTCGACGAATTGTTTCGTCATCCTCGTCTAAAAATTCCTGTGCGGATGCAGCCATTGCAATATTTCGAGATGCCACACTTTTAATCCCAGCGTGCCCCAAAGAGTTAGGGATGATGCTATTTTTGCAACGAATATTTCTCTGAAAAATAATTATTTCCTGTCTTTTAATTTTTTGGGGGGTACAGTGTAGATAGCTAGCGAGGATAGTGTACTACAGCTATTTCTCAATGTTTCACGCTGCGAGTGGTCCCTAGGATAGGGTACACGAGTAAAGTCACGGTGTAATAATGCATTGATACGTTAAATTTTGTATTCGCAAATTACACGGTGTGCCATTAAATTCGCCACGTACCCCTAGGGATATTCTCACGATGGGAATTCCTAGTACACAAGATCGTTAGTTGGAAACGTGTATGGTTTTTGCGTCATCAGAAATGATGAATATCCTACTAATTCCGTTAAATAAATTCAGATAAACTCTCGTAAACAGGATTTTCAAAAATTCCCATTCCCATAATAACTCATATTTATTTTTTATAATTCTTCGACAGGAACATCTGATAATATACACTTACGAAGAATTCATCTTCACAGATAAAATTAATTTCTGACACTTCAGAGTCCATCAAATTGTGGATAGAAATGGAAACCAATTTCTCGTACGTTTTCTAACAGTTAATAAATTAATATATTTATATAATAATATATAAATATTGTCATTAATTCGCAATATAATATTTTAAACAAAAAGATTCACGCTATCTAGAAAATTCTTCTCTCATTCTCAAACACCTGTTTGCTATTTGACGATTCTCACGTAACTGTTTCATTTTGGCACATTTATGTACGGTATTTCATTATAATATAAAAACTAAACCAAAAATATAATGCTTCAAATATGACAATTTTATTCCGTTCAACTTACACACGAATTTCATATTTATTCGCCTGTTGTACAGAAACAAAGCACAGAATACGCGCGTTCTGCTTCATACAATATTGACTGATATATATAGAATAAAACTGAACTGTCAGACGTACCAAATATATTTTTGGCGCCGAGCGGTGTAGATGTAAAATGTAAAATTCCAAAATCCCCAAATGGGGATCCTGGCAGCTAATAATAATTAAACACAATCTCCACAAAGAACTGTCCGTCATTAATCGTCGTCAAGGAGGATCAACCTGGTAACGATATACAATCAGAAAATTCGAGTTTGCCAAAGAAGATCTTCGAATACAGAGATAATTCTCGTTAGACCAGGTTAGAAATGGGACAAGGTGCGAGAGGAATATTCGTCCGTTGCGAGATGCTGATCGATTGCCTTTTATTTCAGCGAGACTGGCAAAAGATGTCGGTAAGCGGCGACCAAGTGCGTTTTCTCACGGAAGCAAATCCTCCTTCGGGAATCCTTCAACGTGGAGAGACCTTTCAGGGCAATAAATTATCCGCGTGTCGATATCACAGCTACTTTCCGGATAGATCTCGGTTCCTGGCCGATATATTCCTCTCGCCATCAAAGAATTTGTGGTCCCTTCAAGAGCAAGGGAGCTCGAGGATTTTGCTCCCTTCTATTTATCTTGAAATATAGCGAGAACAGTCCAAGGAAATAATGGTAAAATAAATATAGAAATATAAAATAGGAAAAAATTAATATAGCAAATTGCGATAATATAGAAATAGCAATAGATAAATAAGAAGAAAAATAAAATAGTAGATAATATATAATAGTAAACAGTATTAGTATAGTACTAATTATCGTAGGATTTCTTGCTAGATTAATCCTATGCAGACCGAGATCTCCTTCTATTTATCTTGAAATATAGCAAGAGCAGCCCAAGGAAATAATGGTAAAATAAATATAAAAATATAAAATAGGAAAGAATAATACAGCAAATTACGATAATATAGAAATAGCAATAAATAAATGAAGAAAAATAAAATAGTAGATAATATATAATAGTAAACAGTATTAGTATAGTACTAATTATTATAGGATAGAATAAGAATAATGCTATGCAGACCGAGATCTCCTTCTATCTATCTTGAAATATAACAAGAATAGTCCAAGGAAATAATGGTAAAATAAATATAGAAATATAAAATAGGAAAGAGTAATATAGCAAATTGCGATAATATAAAAATAGCAATAAATAAATAAAGAAATATAAAGTAGTAGATAATATATAATAGTAAACAGTATTAGTATAGTACTAATTATCGTAGGATTTCTTGCTAGATTAATCCTATGCAGACCAAGATCTCCTATTTATCTTGAAATATAGCAAGAGTAGCCCAAGGAAATAATGGTAAAATAAATATAAAAATATAAAATAGAAAAGAATAATACAGCAAATTGCGATAATATAAAAATAGCAATAAGTAAATAAAGAAATATAAAGTAGTAGATAATATATAATAGTAAACAGTATTAGTATAGTACTAATTATTGTAGGATTTCTTACTAGATTAATTCTATGCAGACCGAGATCTGCGCGTCTAATAAACAGCAACTCCTTTTTAATAACAAAACAGATTTATTTCATTAAAATATTACACTAGATGCCTCTCAATTCTATCACACGATTCAAACACACGATCCCCTATTCGCTACGTCTGGACCACGCACAATCTGCCTTTTGCCTTCTCTGCGCCCTTGCACCCTTATTTAAACTCTACCACTCCCTCTTTTCATACGCAAGCTTTCTTTTTCGATCACTGGACCCAGTCATAAATATTTTATCCCTACAATCCTCGCACGTAGTCATCCATCTGCATGCACTCCAGGCATCGTCTTAAACGCCTAAGTCGATGCCGATGTCGCTGTTCATTGTTCCTTTGCCAGAGTCCTTCGCTGCTCGCAACCCCCATATTATTATAGTACTAATTATAGCATAGTACTAAAATTACTAAGAAATACTGTAATTCAGTATCGGTAACACAGAAAGTGACAATGATCTCGAATTCTACAAATGGATAAAGAACCGGTACTTGCAGGTGGCTTACACAGGGCGAGAAAATAGTATCCAGGATGATCTCTACAGTATGATCTCTGAGCCGGCTAGGCACACAGCGACTGGCTTTTTCATGAATACACGAGCGAACGTGGATTTATCGGTGCGCGGGAACAGAGGGCTGGGATAAATTACGCGAAACACCGTGTTTCACCGGGCAATTTCGATCGGCATTTGTAATTCGGATTGCCATCGGCCCTTCACCCACGCGATAATGGAATTTCAAATAAAAATGAGCGGCTCGCCGGTTGCCCGGGGAACACTTGTTTCACGATTTTTCACCGGGGGCCGTAAAAGTCCATCAAAAATCCCGATACAGATTCGGACGACACGAATGGGCAAAAATTGGAGAGAAATTGTTTCCGATTTTCACCGATTCCAATGCTTAATTTACGATCATCCGCGTTGGTAATTTCCACGCAGACCCGACGAGATAAAGAGAATTTTCGCGAGCTCTTAATTATTTTATCTCCGATCGATAATTTCGGTCGGAAGGATATTAGAATGAACTTAAACTGACCATGGCATGGTAATTATTAACCCTTTTCACTCGAGAGGTGACTCTCAGTCACCGTTTGTTTTAATGCTTTAACTTAAATAATGGATGATGATAATTATATTAAGAAAATCGAAATAAAATTATTCTATTCGTTCCTCACGCAAATTCACGATTTTCTTTTTTTAATTTTAACATAAGGAGTATCAGTGAGCTTATAAAAATTTAAGAAGAGCTTCGAATTATATCTTCACAACGAAGAAATCTTCGAGTCCAAAGGGTTAATTCTATGTGTGTGTATCGTCCATAAGTGAGAAACCAGTACGTAGATATATGTACATGTATATGTATGTAACAAAATAATAGCACATCC